ACTGCTGGCCTTGTTTGCCTTGCTTGCTTGTTTTTGTACTTTTACGATCAGCTCCTAGGGTTCACAAAACCTTCTCAGCATAACACTCCAACGACAAGGTTTAGTCAGATTACCATTTGCAGTCATCCATCCTGCCGACTACGCCAAATGTGACCAAGGGATAAATAAGTATGGACGACAGAGGTATAATTATCTGGTACAACGAATTCCCGTACTGAGTTTATTTACCAAGATTACACAGGAGAGCAACACTGTAAATTACAGGAACTAAAAACCCCGTCAGTTGGTCAAATCTAACAAATTCCACACAGTTTGGCTTGTAGGAGCTAAAACTTTCTACACAGTTGAAATGAGCTGGACTCTGAACATTCGCAAACCAACTCCGGGCTGAATGGTTCAGTGGCCAGAGAGGTGAAAGGACGAGATGCTCCTCAGACGAGTCCAATGATGTTACTGACCCAAACTGACTTCTCAGTGCTAAGTTTCATGGGAAATATGCAAATTACTTCTAGTCACTCATGTGTGCCTTTTTTGACAAATTCCATGTTAACTAATAAATTAAAATACTGAAAATACACAAATCATATATCTTAAATAAATGGTTTAAATACATGTCTACATTATCAAAAAAGTCAGTAGAAAATCAAAAAAATAGTCAGATTAAGGAGCGCCCTCAATGGCCAACTTTACTTAGCTCACACAGTTATTTTTTTTTTAAACAAAAAAGAAGTCCCGACTTGCCAGTCTATGCATGAACACTCACCAGATCCAAAGAAATCGTTTTGGCTTTCCTATTCAACAAATCGGGACATTGAAGGAGTTTGCAAAATAAATCAAAAAATAAATCATAAAGTAACTTATAAATTAAACTGAGCGTTGCGCAAGTTTAGATAGCTGTGTAACGATGGTGTGCCCTATATTACGAAAACAATTCTGGAAACAGATGAGTGCCCTCTGTAGTGTAGTGTTAATTTGCACTGGCCGAGGCATTGTTGATCGGGGGTTCGAATTCAGCTTTTTTTCGATAGTTTCACAATTAAATTAAATATCTTATGATAGCAGTATATTTATTTCATTATTTTATCAACTGGTGAAGTTAAAACAAATCCATAAAGTTTAAGTACGCCTTTTGGAATTATGCCATGACTTTTACTACTTCACTATTACTTTGGATGCATCTAGTCATTAAATTTAAATTCACTTAACTTAACCCACCCCAAAATACACTTGAACGTGTAATGAAAACTACACCCAGACGCCATCTGGTCTTGAATTATTCATTAGTTTCATGAATGACAAGTTCACGCAACAACAGCTTGCAAAAGCATCTGAATTTATTGCACTGAACAATCATGACCGTCACCAAGCCATATATGCACTGGGTGAAATATCTGGAAATGAAGTCAACTATAATCGATCACGTGTTCTGAACCAATCCTAACTTGAAAATTATAAATCCATTACGACTTGACCACTTATAGAATTGCTAAAAAATAATTTCAAAGTTAACGGTTATTTCTAGACAAATTAAAACATTATTTTTTAGAAGCAACCATGATTATGTGAAATTCTAGAGTCTTTTACGAAATATTAAATGTAATGTGCCCTCAACCAATGAAATTAAATCTGGCCGATGGTACAACTAATTGTATTGCCTGTTGAACAAATCAATCTCACCTGCCAATGAGTTTTTAAAAAGCTGTAATTGGGAAACTGAAACTGCACGACGAGTACTGTGACCAGTGTGTTGATAATGTGCCACATGATTTAAGGTAGAGATGCAGGTTCGTGGGCACTTGGGAGAGAATTTTTTTTTTTGCTTTTTATTATCCAAACAGTCTTGGCTATAGACTGTTAATATTTTGTAGAATTGTGAATAGTGGAACATACTCAAAAAACGATTTTAAAATATAGATGACAGATGCAAACATTCTCTCTTTTGTGAATGCTTAGCAAGATTTAGCAAGGCTGTACATAAATAATAAGAAAGAAACATGTTGAAAAAAAGAAATGACGGAATCTCCATATTATGCACTATATTTAACTTTTAAGAAAACGATAATACATTTAAATTTGGAACAGTTACAGCCATTTTAATTATGAGCATTAGCAAACTTCTTACTGAGTGAATTGTTATACAAATTAGCAATTATGTCAGCTTCTTTTTAGTGCACATCCCAGAACTTTAAAAAAAATAGCTCCTAGACGCTTTGACCTTTTGTTTTGAAATTTTCACAAATGATTGACAATGTGTTTATCTTCAAAACGCCGTCGGGGCATTGTTTTTGGTTGAACAGTGTTACAACAATCGTGCAGACAACTAGCCTGGGTGTTAATATATGCATAAACTTGAAGTAGTGAATTTTGGGCTGCTGCCCTGCAAAATTGACAACTAGTAGACAGTTTTCAAGACGGCACTTTCTTCATAGTAAACAGATGTACCCATAAACCAATTTTGACAGGAAACAGAAGCATGGTTAAGGAGCTAATTTTTCTTAAATCACTTTTGACCAAAAAAGCACATTTTTGTGCATATTTCAAACTACAGTGACCATAAAAAAATACTAACAAAATTTTAAAATTCATACAATAAGCTTTCCGAAAATATATAGTTTTGTGGACAAGGGAGGTCATCTTGGTTTCCTAATTAACTAATTAATATACCTGTCAGGTAAACTGCATCTCTACATTAAATGTAAAAATAACTATATTAGAAATTGAGAAGACTAGACTAAGAGATACTTGCCAAATAACAAGGCTCCGGGTCGCAATGGCTTTGTTATAGAGCTATTTAAATATATCTGAACACACATTGTTCCTGTTTTAAAGCGCGGTTGTCGTCGCGCAGCGCGTGCTCGAATTTCATGTAAACAAACGATGTATTTTACACGCGTTGTATACGTTGCTATGAGTCCCATATCGAACACGACGCGGCACGACGACCACAGCCCTTTAATGTTTTTATTCAATAACATACTCTTCAGTTGTAAATTTCCTGTAACCTGGTGTAAAGCCATTATCTCGCTATTACATAAAAAGGGTGATCGTTCTGAAGTGTACAATTACAGGGGTATATCTCTATATGTAACAAATAAGATTTTAACAAAAATCTAAAATTTACGTCTGGTGTCGTCACAATAATATATTATCTGAAGCGCAATGTGTATGTTTTTCGGTTTTGATAGTTGTTTTAAGTTTTGGAAATTGCGAAAGCAAGTACGTAACGAAAAACGTAAAAATACAAAATTAAAACAAATAGTAAAAGTAAAATAAATATATAAAATAAAATACGCATCGCACAATACATCAGATTTTAATCAGATTGAGTAACAGATCTATCAGCTGCCTCTTTTTGTTTTTTACTTTAAAATATGCATAAGCCACTGACTGAGATAACTAGAACTATATGCTAATAGGCATCCTCATGAATGTTATTTAATGTTAAAAAGATTATCCGATGTTAAATTGGGCGTACAATGTAAACATTTTGCTTTTTCGCTTTAGACTCGGCAATTTGTGGGATACAAAAGTCGGTTTGTTTCAAAGATCACACGGAGAATTAGGGACTGTGCTGCAACAAGATGTTACAACGACACTGCATCTTCCCCAAAACTCAATTTGAAGTCGTCACTCGATCAAGAAAAATATTTTGTCTTGCATTTATGTTTTCAAATTTAGAGCTGCGTTATTAGGGTTACGTTGTTCTCACAATCTGCGTATTGAAAAAGAAAGGAATGAAAATCTCTCTCTTGATCACCGATTTTGTGAATACTGTGTTGAACGCAGATTCAAATTGAGGACGAATATCATTCTGTGACGATTTACCCTCGCTATCACCGTATTAGGTGTTTCCCACTCGCAAAAAAAATTATCTCACTTATTTATGAGTTCAAGAAATTATTAACAATTTAAATCAATTAGCTATTCGTGTTTATTTTGCCGTGAATAGCAGAGTTTGAATGTATTTCAAATTTACCATTGTATAAACTTAATATAATTAAATGAAATTGTATTTGCTCTTTGGGTCAATGACCTTTGCTTTGTCATGAATAAACATAAACTATAAACAACATGATACAGATAGAGAAAAAGAAACCAGTATCTCAGTGGAAATCTCTACCCTTGTTGATGTGAATTTTTGGGGATTTTGAAGAGAGCCTGTTCAATACAGCACACGCGGTTGACACGAGACTAAAATATGGGTGTCTACTATCGAATATACTATTATTACTATTGTGATCGTTATTGATATCATATGCTATTTTTAGTAATTTTGGATTTGTGTGTGTGTGTGTGTGTGGTGTCATCATTAACATTCAAAGGTGATGATTTGTTAAAGCTGTACATTGTGTAGAGTGAGGGCGAATCACTGAGTAGGACTTTGTATCTCTAACCTGCGGGCAATGACCTCCACCCGCAACAAGCCCTTCATGCAATTATGTGTCTGACGGTTTACCCGCCCGTATAATAATAATAATAATAGTATAGTATATATATTTTATTTGGCACGAAATAATGCATTGAATTATATTATCTATGGTCAATAAACATACAACAAAGGTAATATGAGGTACATATACCGTCCATTCAAGCAATTCAAGCAACGCGAAATGGTGCATAATTGAACAGGAAATTAATCCCATCATTCCCAGCGCCACGGTCACTGCGTTGCATTGCATGCGCGGAGTTCGTTTCTATGGGCGTCTTTGTTGTGGCGATGATAAACACGGAATAAATTATACTATTGAACACGAGGTCAAAGTGCATAGTGAATGTGCTTGTGCTGTTCTCGCTTGCAAGCTCCATTATTAAAAACTGGATTATCTAGTAGCGATTTAGAGAATTGTGAGATAAACTTGGAGACATTCGCCAGTAAGACAATTATTCAACCTTGAACTAGAGTTGGTATTTCGGAAGAAATCTAAATATTTGAACGTGCCGTGTGCTGAAAACGAAAGCAACTATTCATTGAAAGAAGACTCCCAGGAAGTGCATGTGCAATGGAGAACGACGGGAGATTTGAGTCTGGGGGGAACCCCACGGAGAATGTTGCACGCCGTATCGGTGCACGCAGTAATGGTCGTATCGTACGTGTATACTTTAGCTTGCCGTTCCGAGGTATGGAGAGCGAGAGGGAGGAGCTGACACAGAAACAATGGCCCAGGTTAGCCAGCATATGCAGTAAAGCAGGTTTTGAGTTCGTACCTGTTGATTTGAGATGCGGAATTACGTCTGAAATGTTCGAAAACGCGGGAACGTTAGATTTGAGTTTGCGTGAGATAGACCGGTCTGACATATTCGTTGGATTTGCTGGGCAGGTGAGTAATTCAAACTTATGATTTTTTTTTTAAATCGCGAGTGTCAAGTTCATGATCGATCGACATTACAACGTTCCCAGTTCGACTATATATTAATGTATTCGGTCCAGTTATTTGCAGCATTGTATTACTAATTTTAAATCATATCCTCATGATCTCAGCAATACAGTTTGCATGGCGAAGACAAACTACTGCAGAAGAGTTTTGATTCTGCATCTACACAATACCCGTGGGTGAATGAGTATCGTAACAGATCAGTTACTGAGATAGAATTCTTACATGGACATCTGAGAAATCCTGGAGATAAACCAGCCTGCTTCTTCTTCAGAGACAAAGTAAGCGATGTTCTTCTTGTCATACCATGGGTTCATGGGTTCATGATGCTCTTCTAACCGTCTAAAGATGGCGCTAGGCACGTTTATTATCGGCGAGAAATGATGATTGTGTACGATATATATATCGAAGAGTTTTATATATATAGGGTCAACATTATACATAAATACATTGGACTATGATGATTCATCCTCATGAACTGAAAACGTTGTTCTTGTAACACATATGAGTATTTGTACGATGAAGCAATGACATTCTCTAATACGCATCTGCTTTTTTGGTACGTACACTAACAATTCCTGCATATGTGTATTTGTGGTTTTTAATTTTTATTAAACGAATATTGTGTCTTGCGTAAGAACACAACAGTTTTTGTTTATGGTAAATCATAATCCGATTGGCTTTACATTATGGATTATGAACGGTATTAAAAATAATGTGTTTTCGTTTCTATTTCATTTCTGAACGACAATGTGTATTGATCTATTGTTTTGTTTTTTGATTCGTGTAATGGTTATCTTTTAAAAGGCCCTACATGCCCTTTTAAGAAGCAATTATAAAACGTTGAGGGCGGTTGTTGTATCATCTTGTTGGTACTGTGAGACGACGTATACAACGCCTGTAAAATACACTGTTATTTACACGAATTCGAACGCGCGCTGTACGACGATCAACTCCCTTTAACCGCGAATTGTGGGCGATCTATCAGTAAATATGAAACAATACTTTGTCGGGCCTTAAATAGATAATAGTATTTGTCATCAGGAAATGAGACTATTTCACAAATTTATTTCAATTGTATTTATATTAGGAGTACGATAACAAGAAAGTCATTGAACATGAGACATCGGAAAGCGAGACGGAAGCAAACAATTACAAATCAGTTATCGATGGACAAGATTCATCTTCATTACTAGATGATTTGAAAACAAGAATTTTAGAGTCTAGAGACAAGGTAATCTGTTCACTTGTCGTTTGGTTCATTTATTATAACCTAACACGGCATCCAAACTATCACAATCACTAGTCTTGATCACATCTGGTTATGAGTTCAATTGTAACGATTTATGACCAAGAAAAATAGGCTATGTGTGTGCTCGTACCACCGCGGTTCAGTAGTGTGAAAACCCCATCCAAGAATATTGTCCGCAAAGTAAACAGTGTATTGGTTATTTATTTTCTATAAGTGTCAATTTATGGTAGGCTATCGCAGAAATAAATATACACGTAGCTTTCGTCTGCAGTGTCTGAAAGTGGTAGACAGTTATTCTGACCCAGTCGACGGAGCCAAAAGAATGTTTGAAACAGTTGAGAAATACTTGCGAGAAACTGTTTTGAAAACTCCCGCAAAAGATACAACAGACCACGAAAAAACTTCCCATCTACACAACGCATATTGCAATAGTCGCCTTGGTGTCGGTGCTAATAAGGAGTATATCGGAGGCGACAAGTACCTGGAAGAGGTCGAGAGGCATGTGCTACCGGACGTCGAGGGGTATCAGAATAAACCATTACTGATTTTAGGTAACCCAGGTAGGTGAATAAGGAGGGGCATGTTTACCATTTTAAATCTCTTCGAATTTGAGACCGACGCGTGTAGTGTTAAATAGTATACATATGGTGGACTTGTACGAAAGGAATTAATTAGTAAATTTCACTACGACCTCGACTATTGAAAGGCGCATCTTATTACATTATATTATTTCACTTACTGTGCGCTGTTTTCCTTATATTCACCATAGGTTCGGGTAAAACAAGCCTGCTGGCGAACTGGATACATAAACACCAGAAACACTACCCAGAAGACATCATTGCCGCTCATTTTGTCGGATGTGCCCCCAAAAGTACAAGTGAGTGATATATTTGTATGTAACTATAGCCGTCGTAAGCATTTGTAAAAAAAACGATATTGCCTCTGGTCTTTTTTCATGGTGGCTGTAAAATAATGGATACATATTCTCTATTACTACTTTATAAATACGCAATGTGTGTACATCCGCCATAACGAGATTTCGAACCCATTGAATGACAACTATTGTGACCTTTCACAAAATAAACCCACACAACGTTAGGATCTGTAGTTAGGAGGGAATTGTGTTCTTTTGGTCCAAAAGTAGAAGAAACTATAGAAAAGTATGTAAAAATGTAGCAACCAATGTTTTTTTTTGTGGGAAATTATTGGGTTAATGTTTTTAACCACAATAAGAACGTGTGTCAAGAAGCGGACCATATAAGTACCCAAGAATGTAATTCACTTTTACATATACGCGGGAGGGTCGTCACCTGCGCACGCGCGGGAATTGAGTCCCAAGCGATGAGAACAACACACGCTAAGAACGCAAAGACTCATGGGTAGGCGCTTGTTTGTAAGTAAGTAAAGTAAACTTTATTGACATTGTACTCTACAATAAAGTAAATATGTTTTAGAAACTTATTTGTAAAAAATGACACGATATGGTGACGACTCCCCCGGTTTAAAATATGATACCAGAATAAGTAAGATTTTTTAGTGTAACTTTGGCGAAAACCCAACCGTTTTGAATTAACAGACATGTGATACATTTAGAAGGGGGTAACTCAGTTGAGTCAACTTCGTCAACTTCTTTAATTAATGCTGGAATACACGCGTAGTTTTTTGGAAATCTCAAACCTGTGTTTACTGTTTGATTTTAAGGCATGTTGGCTCTATGAATGAAATAGCCACGTGAGTTTAATTGAAGTATGAGAGCTTTAAACGTGAGTCACATCTTTGTTCACTAGGCGAACAGGACGTGTTAATAAGGTTGATGACCGTACTAAGCTTGGGATTCTCTGAAAAATCGAGACTTTCTAAAAACGATGAAATGAACAATTATTACGACTCTGAGAACAGCTCGACAGCAAACAATACTTACGAAAAATTGAGAAAAATGGATATTTACAAAGTCGTCCGAGAACTTCAAGATTTGCTGAAGAAGATCTCCGAAAGTGGAATGCGTGCAGTAATTATTATCGATGCTTTAAATAAAATGGAATCCATGCACAAAACAAATCAGGTGGGAAAACTTCTCATTTAAATAATTTGAAAACATGTGACACATAATCTCAAGTAAGATTTTGTTTCATGGATTAAGCGTAGTTATATAACATGATAATTGTGTATTACAATTTTGTTGAAGGAATTGTATTGGCTTCCGACAGAGCTTCCCATGGGCGTATCATTATTAATATCCAGCCAGAATGATACGAAATCAACAAAGATTTTATTGGAGGACCGACAGTTTGATAAATTGGACGTGGGACCTTTGGATGTAGAAGACAGAGAACGAATTATTAAGGTAATTAAAATTAACCAAGAGATTATTTTTTTAAGCTGCAAACCACATAATAATTCTTTGGTGACAACGTTTATGTGATTCGAATCATCACAGGAAATACTCGATGTACGTGGTAAGCGACTGGAAGTTGAACAAACTGAAAAGATAATTAACAAACCACAGACCGAAAACCCCCTCTTTCTGAAAATTTTGTTGCAAGTAAGTATCAAGCTAACGTGCTGTGATTGCCATCATTTCATAACTATAAACAAGATAATGTCCAGCCTATATTTTTTTTAATTATGTATCTGGTTATTGTTTATTTCCGACGTTGTATGTCGCCGTTGTTTATTTTATATGTATCGGGCTATTTTATTATTTGTTCGCGTGTAAGTTGACTAACTCATATTAATGGTTCTGGATCATTGTTTTACTTTTCAGGATTTGTGCAACTTTGGCTCTTTTGAGAAACTTGAAGAACATCTTGAGAGCTTGCTATCGGCTGACAGGCAAGTGTTATCCCGAATACGTCTATTTAATTATTCACTTTATTATTATGCTCCAAACTCCCACTAAAAGTAAAATTCACGCAAAGACATTACATTTTTACAAATGGCCTATGAAACCCAATCCAAAATGCGGTTGATATTAGCTGACTCCACACAGATGATGTGATCTTTTAAGGTATCTCCGCTATATTCTTGTTCACGTACTATTGCTTTATTGCGCTTTTATAAAACACTGTTTTTGTTAATATTAAGACCGCCATCCAAATTAATATTTCACAATTGATTACCTTTTGTAATTCAGTACGAAAGAGCTATTCAACAATGTATTGGAGAGAATGGAATCGTCCGTTGACCCGAGCAGTACAGGCAGAGAGAGCATACTCAGCAAGGTACATTGTGTTAGTTGCCACCAATGCTATTATAACACATTTTGCAAATTATTGATAATTTTTAAAGAGTAAATGCATACTATGTATTGTTAGCAGTTCTTATAATAAATATAGCCTTATTTTCCGTTTTCGAATGTAAATCTGATAATTGGATCATAGTGTTAATATTCTGTTGTGCAGGTAATGAGTTGCATTGCCGTGTCTCGCTATGGTCTATCGGAAAAGGAAATCAAATCAATTGTTAATATCCCTGATCACATCTGGTCACGGATCTATTTCACCATGGAAGAGTTCTTCATTGATAGAGTTGGCATTCTTGCGTAAGTAAATTATCATTTAAATTGTTCATGTTGATTCTTATATCAGGCCATTCATCTGGATTATATTGTAATTAACGTATTAAGTCGCATGTATTTTTTTGTATTGGACAGTTTTGCTTATGACGAATTGTTGGCAACAGTATACGATCGATATTGTGACGATGAAGGCACAAGAGTCTTGTATACGAGAATGGTTTCCAGTTATTTTCAAGGCAGTCTAGATGTAAGTATTTTACGACTCTCTCTTCCACATAATTGTTTGAACTAAACACTATTTTAATTGAATACTTAACTAATTGATTATAGTATATTATTAATTTATGGGATCGAAAGAAAGCAATACGATATAAATAATTAAATTAATCTTCACTGTGCAGGGAGTAGGAGACACGTTTAACAAAGATATAAAAGTGGTGTATAGGATAGTTGATGAGTTACCATGGTTACTGAATAAACTGAAAGACAACGAGCAGATGAAAAAGTGTCTCACGCACTTGGGGCTTTTTATGTCCATGTTTTCTGAGTAAGTTAAGTAGTGGTTTATTGGTGTATACAGTGTATGTCTGTATCGTAGTTTTTGTGTAACTGCAATCTTGATATTAAAGCATTCTGGTCATTAATGCAGTGTAATATACGATATATTATTTTCGGAGATTTTAAGTAGTCGCGGTAGTGTAAATAATATAGACTTATAAATTTCTGAAATAAGTGAAATGATGACATCATATTTCAATATATCATTAAAACAAAATTGGTATCATCAACTTCGATTTGAAATCAGAACCTTTCTGAAGTTGTTACAATACAACTTGTTTTGCAAACAATGGTGTAACACCTATGAACTAATGTGGAGCGCGTCTGCTTATAATGGCAAGGCCCGTTCGAATCTCGTGTTTATTGTTTACATGTAATTTGTGATTCTGTTAAATTATTCATTTCTCATCTTGTTCTATTGCAGCACTGATGGGAAATACGATTTATATGAATATTGGAATTATTTAGATAGCAAAGGCAATGAAATATCTGATTTGTATATGAAATCTGTTGATAAACAAGTGGCAAACATGTACACAGAGTGGTTTGAGAAATATAATGAGGTAAAATCCCCAGCAAAAGAGGTGAGCAAATTAAATATTCTAACAGCTAAGCTTGTCCATAATGGGTAAACACTCACTATACTTTTGTAGATGCATATGGAACGAATCTTCATAAACAAATTCCAAGAACAAAGCTATTGGTGATGCCAATGGACACCATCGCACGATTTAGCATCGTTCGCTTGATGTCGCGTGCATTCCTTTTGACATGGCTTATTAGCTGTCTATCAGTTGAAGAATGGGTTATTTGTGGGCTGGGATATAATAGTTGCCAGCGTCCAACAACACGTCTGTGCGTCGGTGTTGAAACATATCAAACATATCAAGAACACAATTACAAATAGAAACATTCACACAGTGTTATATTGAAGACATTGCACACTGGATATGAGCAGCATATTTAATAACCATGTATGATTATATGATCTCATTAAAATGCTTAAATAGCACTATTGCAGATTGAGACATGCAAGCAATACTTTTTTGAAGACGTTGGGCTAATCAATATATTTAAAACCCATATATAGTCAATTGACCTCATTAAAAATGTATGACTATTCTACACTAGGTATAAACGGCTTTCTTGCATAGTGCATTATTTGCACTAACGCAATTTGCACCTTATATTTTCTCAGTTGTTAGCAGTTGTGTATGCAATTGGTGAATTAATATACAACAGTGGTCATCCTAGGGAGTGCATACCAGTTCTCAAAAGAGTGTTGCGACTTCAGGTATTCTATTAATTCAAGCAATAGGGATAAAACGTGATTCCGACATTCTATAAAAGTTACTACCATAATATTTGTGTATACAAGTAAATATATTATTATATTGTTAGTTCAATAAGGCCTAAATAATAACAAATAAATATCTCTTTTATGTATTTTGAGATAATTTTATTGTTAATAAGCGTGTATTCCTAGATTATGCTAATGTGGCTTTTAGAATATGTTCATTTCGTTGGTTTATTCTATTCTAATTCTGAGCTGTATTTTCATAGAAATATGCATATACAGAGGAAGAATTACTTGTTGACACCAACGCAGCGACACTGAACTATAACACGTTAAATAAACTTGCAATCTCATATAGCGACACGGAGAACTTCGATGAAAGTGAACGGATATTCCACAAATGCTTAGCAATAAATAAGAAGTAAGTCCAAATATTATTGCCGAGCAAAGCGATGTTTGGTGTGCGTTATCCGCTCCTTCAAAAAAGGTGGTTAAAATTTAAATAGCGACATTTTCCATGTGAAGCTTTCAGACTAACGTCTCTCGAAAGTTTTACCAAATTGTCAGGAACATTACTGCAATTTTGAACACAGCTATGTAATTAAGCTATATGCCGCTTCTTATTTTCCCAAAATATAAACTGATTTGTGCATTCTGTAAATTATCCAGCAAGCAAGAAATGTTAGTGTGTGCAGAAACGTTTCCAATTATTTAAGTTTGTGAATGTAAAACAGGTAATCCTCATATGAATATTATGTTTTGCTCTTCAGGTTCGGAGACAGGTTTGATGACAGTGGTGCAATAATGAATGATCTAGCTGTTTTATATGAACGGCAGGGGAAACACGATGACGTAAGTCAAGTATTAGCATGATAAGATGCATATAATTGCACAGGAAATAACAGTATTCATGTACAGCATAGTTTTCTATGCTTCCTTTTTGTAGGTTTATTTTCAGCAATACCTCTGTTCAATAGTGTTGTTTAAATCCATTCATTTCACATATATGTGTAAAACAAGAAGGTACGAATATTATTGGATCCATCATGTCGATCGCCAAAGATATTATATTCCACCGAATATATTTAATAAGGAAAATGAGAGCATATTTTAGATTTGATGAAGATTGTTTTATTTTTGTTTTAAATAGGCGAAGAAACTTTATGAAAAGGTTCTAGAAATACGTCGCGCTACCCTAGATGAGAATCATATACTTATTGGCGATTCTCTCAACAACATTGGGACTCTGTTATTCCACACAACGAGGTTCGAAGAAGCTATAGAGTACTTGAACCAAGCAATTGAAGTAAATATACCCCCTCGTAATACATGCAGTTTGTATGTAGTATTCGGTATAATGTGTTCCTCTGGTAAAACTGGAAAAAAGTGTATGTATGCATATTTTTCTTATTTTTTTCAGGTATACGAAGTATATTATTTTGGTCGATTCCATCCTGATGTCGCAGAAGCATTAAGCAATCTAGCTAGTTGCTACATGAATTTGAAACAGTGTGATAAAGCGGGTAAAATATATGAAAGGTAAATATTGTAAAAGCCAAGTATTAATCGGTTATGTTATGTACGCTGGTCACTAATAATAATTTGCAATGCATTGTGGGAGTTATTGTGTGCATCGGAATTCGCAATAATTTACACAATGTGGCGTATATAATACATTGTCCAAATATCGATGCAGTATTTCCTTTTCACATTTCCGAGCAACTATGCAATTGTTTTGATGTGTTCTTTTTCGCGTAGAGTGCATGACTTGACTGTGAAAGCTCTTGGTGATCAACATCCCGATGTTGCTGAGAAACTAATGAACTGGGGAATGTTTTGCCAATCACAAAGAAATTATTTATCAGCTTTGGATATGTATGAACGAGCATTGCAAATATTCAAGGTATGACATCAGTATTATCTAATTCTTTTACTAAAATTGCAATATGCATAATTTTGATTATGATTAATTTCTTAACAGTCGCAATCTCGAACGAAATATAATGCTTGACATTTGAATATAAATGCAATCTCATTTAAATTACCGGGCTAAAAATTCTCCCGTAGTATTCATAAGAGAAAATAATAAATATCTTGGATAACTAACTGTATTGAATCCTTGCGCATATGAGGCAATTTAATGTTAATATTGTTGTCATGTGTCAACGTCGAGACAAATGAATAATAACGTGTTTCTCTGAATGTGACAGACGGTGTTTAACGACGAACACATGCGAGTTCTATGCGTGATGGAAAACATCGCCTTCGCGTATGCATTGCTCGGAAGACACGACGATGCACATCCATACTTTTCAGAAGCAGGTAACAATTTTGAAGTTCACGTATAAGAATTTAGTTTTCAGTCACTAGAAATTTGAGTATATTAATTTTATATAATATATGAGTTGGTTCCCGAGAGGCACACTCAGACACTCGTTGAATATCAAACAAGTTGTTTACATATCGCCTATTGTCCTTATGGGCCACCGTACTACCACACTCAAAATAGCTCTTCTACTGCATTGCGATTTTTTGTATTCGTTTTATAGGTGAAATTCTCCAACGCACAGGAAGAATAGATTCATCATTACCGGACCTTAATAACGCCATGTTAAACTACTACATCGATTCTCGCCGCTATGATGATATCAGGATACTCTTAGAGCGTACTCTGGATGCCAAATTCGCAAAAGCTGAGCACTTTATTATGTTGGATAAATTGGATAATATGGTCGTTGACGATGAAAGGCCGAAAAGACGTTATGAACACACTTTGGATTATGCACTAACAAGGTAATGTAATCTTTTTAGAAAAATATTTTTACTTTCAGGAAAATGTTCAAAATAAATGTGTTTTGTGCCGTTTAAACTACAGTCACCCCTTTACTTCGAACTCACATTATGGCCTTAGCCACAGAATCGTTGCCGTTCTAACACATAGTGAGTAGCCTTAGTTTTATAGATTTTATAATTTTGTGTTTCGTGATATTTATATATATTGCCTCTTTTTAAAAGTGGTAAACGAGCTGTAATTGTCATCATGAAGTCATTTTTCTATGAAGTAATGTCTGACTGAATTATATGCATAACACATTTACCAATCACAGTGTACTTTGGACCAACAAATTAACATTACGTGCGTTTTAATGTGTCATCGATTAAACTAGACGTAAGTGTAACGTGACAATTACGAAAGAATAAACGACTCTCGGTTGAACGAGTGGTGAAAGTTGTACGCCCTGCTGCCTCTCATGCTATTTTGTATGTGCTCGGAAGCTCAACTTCAGAGTACAAATTGTAATGGATACAAACCGTTCAACAATTGATGCCTTATATAAACCCAATTTAGAATAAAATGCCGAATTCTGAATAACGCCTTTAAGCAGTTTTTTTTTTAACTTCAACTTTTAAACAGTAGTTTAATTTAAATATACTAAGTATGCATTCTTTTGTCATAGATTCCCCAATGATGAGGAGTTATTAGAATATATAGAAGAAAAGAAATAGTAAAGCACGAGTGGATGGCTTTCGACGTGGTATATGAAACGTGGTGCATATATGGCGTCGAGATTGTAGTGTTTATGGAATCGAAATACGACTAGACAATGCCGAACGTTTCAAATGAACATTTTGTGTTATCATAGGTCCACGCATCTGATCCACTATTATTCTGGCGACGACGAAATACTGTGACGTCAAAATGACATGGATGGCGTATACAATAATTTTTAAATAGCCAGCTGTGTTTGGTTGTGTAGTAGTTCGTATTTTTATTGACTTCCATAAATCACATCAATATCGATGTCCCTACGGCGCCCACCATAAAAGCGCTACGTCGCTGGGGGCGTTAGTTAGAAGACTGGTGTGTGAATTGTATTTCGATGAGAACACAGTCATCATTTCACTATTTTAACTACATTGGGATTGTTTAATGATTTAAATTTCAAGAATATTCAAATTTTAAAGATACTTTAAAAATTCGACGTTTGACAAACAACATTTATTTTGTCGAACGAGTAAATGGTAATAAGCTAAATCAACAATGACCGGAAGTCAACAATTTGCATTTTGGTTGTGAACTCTTGTTAAAATATTGAACGCAAACTTTGTTTACTCTCTTGTAGACAAACAATTTAATAAGTTGCATACGAGATGTATATTTTATAGGTAATACTTATTTTTATTAATAATTGTATAAAAAAAATATATTTTTTCTATCCAAGGGCATGAGCATGTACATCTGACTAACGTGTATATATGAGTTAAATGGTGATGCAAATACAATCGAATTAAAGTAACATGTTGTTTGTACATACTATGAATTTATACTAATAAACAACAATCATGAAAAAATATATGGAATGTATTTTGTGCCCGTTTGTGTGCGTATTTTGTACTAATATGCACAAAATATCTTAAATCAGTCCAGCGGTTCTCATTTTGCGATTCGTTGCTTATATAATATGCAAATTATGTGTGCACGAATATGTTGTAGAGGGTGATACTATAATCATCATAGAGGGGTGAAACGGTCTGCTTCATTCTAATCGATTCATAATTCTCAAGACATACATAACAAAATCGGAATTGCATTGATAGTTATGAAATTAATATGCAAATTAGCTTCTTAATTCGCTCTAGGCATTTCCCAAAAATACTTGTGTGCCAAATCCTTTCAAACTACTCCAAAATGTTAATTAACATATGCAAATGTGACGATTAGAACAAATGATCGTGGCTTTAAAAAGAATCTTGTTTTTTGCTGACCCTTGGTGGGTGTATTAAATTTGGTTGTAGTCCATAAATCAGTTCTCAAGTTTAACTGAAATTCAGTATGTGTAATTTGGTTAAAATTCATCAGGCAATTTGGCTAAAACCTAGAAAATCAATATGCAAATTCGCTACTTATTATGCATTGATTGTTCGAAATGGTACCTGTATGTGTTCGAAATATGGGCAAATTCATTCAAATTTTGCTGGAAATTAATAACTAGATGAGCTACTTATTATTCACAGATATCCCCGAAGAATGTTTAGGGTGGGAGCAGATAAAGCAAGGGGGATTGGTAAGAAATGTATTTAACATTACCCAGAGTATTAACTTATCTCCCATTTGTAGGAACTCAAACTGTTTGATTGATTTGAAGAGAACAAATATTTTAGTCCATAACAAGATTAATTTACATTGATGTATCTAGTGACCAATGATATAACGTGCAATACCTTTGGAATAGTATATCAATCTAACAAATATATTCATTTGTTAAACAAAAGATAATATTCATTGCCAACGAAACAATTTTTACCGACATTAGCCTGCGATTCATCCAAACCGTAATGTTGTTGTTGTTATCCGAGCGTCGGTGTAATTCTACAAGCCCGCACTCAAGCACCTAAAAATAATGCTACGTCATAAGATTCTCGCACTGGCATTGATTATAAGTATTCGTCCGATTTCTTTAATATCATGTAGTTTATTGTTATGTTTTTGTTTTGTTTTTGATTTTTTTACAAAATTTAGTCAAAAAAAAAACTTAAAATGCCTTTTTACATTGGCTCTATTTCCAGCATAACTCGACAATTACATACTCGGGTATCTGATGAAACAAAATCCTATAGAGTGGCATGCTGCATTGCTTCACTACTTGGAGGCTATATGTTCTGTGTGACATCCCATTTTCTACTATATGGCATACTTACAGTAAATCGTTATATTTATAGGACAATACTACACCAGCTTTATCGAAATCACAGGACCTTGTCAACTTACGACGAAGCCCTTTAGTTTAGATCTAGGACTTTTTAGTATTGGTGAGTTGACTAGCCCCTGTAATCGAAACGAATAGTTCTAATCAAGGTATATACATAATATCAAACCTATCGGGTGAGCTGCTTTGAAGAATAAGTTGAAAAATTAAAATAAATACAATTCATGTACTGGTGAAATTCGAATGCCCGAATTAAACGTTTGTTTGTTAGTTACTTGGGACAACGATTTCATTGTTTGGTAGCTAATTATGATAGTGTGAACTGATAATGTCGCCATGGCATCACCACGATCACTTCTTGTGTGCTGGCACAATACGTTTGGCTGAATCACGTGTCGTTTCATGTATCTTATGCGATTGCAACAAAATAAAAATCGTACGTTCCAAAGTTACATGGTTACGAGTGAATTTACAGTTGATAGGCGTTTGAAGTACCTCTCGACAACTCGGACAGAGAATCGGTTGCCAGGAAACCTGTTGTCACGATGTGGAAAGGAATTAATCTGGATTAGTTAAGATGCACCTTTTAGATTTCTTGTTCTGGAGATATAATTGGATGTTGTCTGTTCTATAGAAATATGTCAATGTGACCAGTACAGGTTATTGTACTATTCGTACACACACACTCCCCGAATAAATTATACAAATGTTACACATGTTCTAAAGATAGTGGCATAATGTAGCATAGTACAGAACGTGTAGTGTAGTGTAGTGTAGTGTAGTGTAGTGTAGTGTAGTGTAGTGTAGTGTAGTGTAGTGTAGTGCAGTGTAGTGCAGTGCAGTGCAGTGCAGTGCATTTTGAAGAGGTGCAATATTAATATTTTAGTTTAGGGATGGGAAACTATTTTTTTAAATTTGCCGACATGTATGCTTATTTTCGTCATCAAATTGGCCACGATAACCTGTATAGCAAAGAATGACAAAGAAAAGAAGAACTTCCGCTTATTTTTGTTAGATGGAATAGTAGCTCATAATAAAGTTTTCTGCCAGCAAGGGGTATTTGCACGTCTTTTTTACAATATTATTTACAATCATGGTGGTTCCGGTGTAACTCCGATTGGGCGACAATTGAGGTCATACATCGAGACATGTTGCGCTATGTGGTAGACACACGTGCCAAAGTGTATGTTTTTAATATTATTATGGGATATATGGAAATATTTTTTGATATGATATTTGAGTTAATATTCGACACTTCGTAATGTCATGTAAAAAAATACGAACAGCAAAGAAATTTACTTTTTGAAAACGCAGCAAAAATAATTAATAATGTCAGTGTTTTGACGGAAACACATTTTCCGCAATCATGAGTTCAGATATAACATTTCCTAATACCGTGTTAGCAAAGTACATAGAGAAATGTTGATGTATAAGACAGCAACTTCTAGACCGAGCACAATAAACCCAGGCTATATAAAATTAAGAAAAAAATAAAATTAATCTATATAACCCTCCTTGTTATGTCAAAATTCTCATTATGCCATTTTCTCCTGAAATACTTAAAGCGGGGGAGTAGTCGCCTGCGCATGCGTCAGGTGGCCATAGCGTGTCATTGTTTACAATTAAGCGTCTACCCACGAGCCTTTGCGTTTTTAGCGTGTGTTGTTATCATCGCTTGGGACACGTG